TACGCTGTACGTTTTTGTTTTTACTGACATTTTCTTTTCATGAAGACGTTCATTTTTATTCTTCTTTGCACTGCCCGTAAGTTATAATGTCCTAATGTGGCGACAGAGCCTCGTTTTCATTCTTTATCTTTTTTTTTCCTGCGTGATACTTATATTTTTTTTTTTATTTCATGAAACAAAAGACACAAACAAAATATTCGCGAACTAATTAAATTTTTCGCAAAACTTGTCTTTTTCTTCGTTCCTTTTCTTAATCCGAGAAAATGTCATTCATCTTTATAAAATGCGGATAAGTGTAAGCGTGTGATTCTCTTGGTCTTTGTTAAATACGCCGTTCTCTTTCAAACGAATGACAATGGGCAAGGTTAAGAAAACGTGGTTGAACGAAACTGAATGGAAAATTTAAAGAAAGTTGGAACATTTAAATTCCTTAGACGAGCAAAATTAAAACAATATAAATATGCGCGCGTGTGTGTTTACATTTATTGTAATAAATATACTAAAATAATATCTATAAAAAAACACGACAGAATTATTTAGATATAAGTGGACACTTGTATATAGATCCAGTGGGTCTACCAATAATGCTGGAGAGCAAAGTGTTGCTCTCTGGTAATTTACCTAGGATCAATGACGTATCTGTGCTCTCTAGCTTACTTAATATATTGTAAGATATGTAACTTGCCTGCTTGCCTCCAGTCAGGGCCGACGCGTACTACCCCCGAACTCTCTTGACAGACTGTGAATCCAAACCGGATTTGGGTGCTCGGGCAATGCTTTGTGACCCTCACTATCTTATCAATATATGCCTTTTTCTACCTACATTTATATACGTTACAAATTAAACTAAACAGATAAAAAAAAAAAAAAAAAAATGACGTCATTCTGATGTCTTTTTTGTCTCAATCCGTGAATTTGTTTGGTTTATGTCTCGTATCGAAAAGAACACGACATAAAATTAATTATTTTTTTATCCATAATGTTGAATGTAGTAAAATTATTCAATTTTTTAACAAGAAAAATCTCAAGTTAATGTTAAAAATTTCAGCAAAACATTGTTGATTTGTTTAAGATGAAATGATCTATTATGGCATGTCCCTAATTTGTATTTAGATACATTGTATTTATTTCCAATTTTTCTAGTTGTTGTTCATCGATATTGCATATGATCTGTTATTGTACATAATAAGGTTACAATAAAATTTGTATTTTATTTTTAATACTACCTTAGGAAAAGTGAGATGTATTAGACACCAACTCTATCACCAGTTTGGACGTTCGAATCAGGGCAGGATTCACTTATTCATTTTGTACGGCTATTTATTTTAGCGTGACAGAAATAACGAACACAAAAACAAAGCAACACACAGAAAACACTATACTGTTCATCATATATATATATATATATATATATATATATATATACCCAAACGGTGAATTATCATGTCAAAGATGAGTAAGATTTCAAGCGGACCATTACTTGAGTAGTGAATTTGATCCTCACTCAGTGTTCCATGCCTGTAGACAATATCTCTTACGACACATACCATAAATTATATAAGCAAGTAAACTGGATCCTGATTATGAAACATTTTAATTTTCCTAAGTTGCACAAATGTCATTACTAGTAATAAATGTATTAAATATTTAACCAATTTCTCATCCTTTGTTGCATATGTGTCTTACAAGCAAATAAATGTAAAAATAATATGTGCGTATATGATTGTTACGTATATTGTCAATGAGAATCGTGCTGATATTATGATGACGTCCTTCATGGAAAAATTGCTCACTTCGGTCGCAAAACGATTGGAAATAGGCTTGCACATCAATCCTAATGTCAATATTTTGGGGACACTCTCTTTTTCTCACTATATATATATATATATATATATATATATATATATATGAGTGAGAGTGTCTCCAAAATATTTTTATATATACGCCCCCGATAAATTTAATTCCGGTCGAGCACTCTGAAGAGAGGAAGCACGAAACAATGACTAGTACTGCAAAGCTCTTCTATGTGTTGAGCCCTCTCGGTCGCTGGTATGTTTATTCGAAGAATAGGTACGTAAAAAATTTCCTTCCTCTCTACTGGGCGCTGATAGCTCTTTCTGAATGATCGCTCGGCCCACATCTCAGCTAAAATTCACCCCTTGGGAATTGCAACGAAAGAACAAAGCAGAATGGGTTTGATCATAATGATCCTTAGCATTGGATATTTGTCAAATATATTACCGCCGGAATGTAAAAAAAATGCGCCATCAACGCAAAATATTAATTCAATTTCTTTCTCTCCCCCCCCTACAAAGCTTTCCTCGCTTAAAATCTCGTTTTCCGCTTTTCTTTTAATTCGCTATTGACAAATAAATTTTCTCTCTCATCCTACCTCTACAGATTTCTATCTGTCTACACGAGAGGCTGCTGAAAAGTTCTTAGCCCGACTAAAAAATCTGATAATTATTTTGAGCTTTTTTTTTTTTCCTGATAACATAATCTTGTTCTTTCATTGTTCTTCCTCTTTAATAATGTTTTCTTTTTCACATTCTCTCGCACGCGGTCATCCCATGCGTCTTAGTGGCTTTATTACCTTGCTTGAGGTGAAATGATAAAAATGGATTATAGATTAATACTTTAATTTGTCACAAGGCCACAATAGTCGGATAGCGAGTGAGAACTAAACACACACAAGTTGAAAATTGGTTTGTCTAATGTGTAACTAAATGCACCAATTATTGCGACTATGTGCCAGACAAAACCAAATTTAGTAGCGAGAACAAACGCCAGGAAAGACAAATGTTGATAGAACAAAAGAATTAATTAATTGGTTATCGAGTGAGGATCAGGCTCGCTTCTCTAGTGATTTGGTTTGCTACATTTGTTTGTTCAGAATGTTTTCGTTGGGAGGAGGCTTCTTTGATGGGGACGAAAACTACTTTCAGCTGTGGGTATATATAATTCATCCAGTCAGTATCTGTCTATATTTCTGAGATGAGGTATTATGCACACTATTTACATAATTCGGACTCTTTTGGGTCCTTTCACTGGATCTAACTAACGCCTTTATCCACTGCGTCATGTCTCCTTGAAGACCCAAAAGCGTGTGAGTTCAATACCTGGTTAAGACGGTGGAGAACTTTGAGAGGGGAATTGACAGGCGATAACTGACATCCATTAGGCATGGCACGTGGGACTAGAACAGTCTACCCCAGTGAGCAAAATAAAGGGTCCAGTTCGACATTCCAACCACCTGAAGAAGGCCGGAGCGTAGAACGACCGAAACGCCGTGTAAAATATGGCGAAAATGATGAGAACAATAGTCCGAATAATGTAAATAGTGTTCCTCGATTCACTCTAAAAGAATCCTTAACCCTAGACGGCCGTTTCATCCTATTTTGGGACTCATCAGGAGTGTGCATCCACTACCGAGATTCGAACCCGAACAGTTTCGATATAACGCAAGCATCATACCAACTATACCAACGGGCCTCGGTGGCGAAGAAGAAACTGAATAGACTCGATATAGCTCACAAATTCCGCGGTGATACTCAGCCAAATATTCATAACCTAACGGAGCCACAACTTTTCTTTCCCTACGTACCGCTCCATCGCAAAGCATTAGCTGAGTCAAGAAATGATATACAAGTAATAGAATTTTGGGAGATTTAGGCAAATCATAATTCATCAAGTTTAGAAGAATCCTGTTTTATAGGAATAAAATGTCGCTGCCGATCCTTGAGGTTGATCGCCGGTGAGCAAACACAGGCGATCCCATTATTGACTTAAGTAGACCACGTGACCATAGGGGAAACGCATATATAGGAAGTCGAGTGACGTCTAGATTAATCTTTAATTCTACTCTATTACTATACGGACCGCTACTCTCTACTCTACTCACTATATTTCTCTATTTGGATCACTACACGGATTACTATTCGAGCAAGTATTATTAGTGCAAGTGTTATTCGAAGGCGTCTGACACCAGTATTGTTCAACGGCGTTACTATAATTGTATCGACGATTACAAAAAGTCTACTACAACGAACATTACGAAAGTGTCAACGAGTATTTGTAAAAGGACAATATGAATAAAAACAAAACTTAGCCGACAAAAGGAGAATATAGAGGATCAAAATCTCAGAGGACGAAACGTGTCGGTTGAGATAAGTTTTTTCTTTTGTCTTTATTCATAGTAATTATCAACGGAGTAAAACAAAGAAATATAGAGAACGATATGAGAAAATACTTCGAACCTGTCAACATATTGAAAAAAAAAATCCTGCATCGAATAATATTGAAGTGCTTGGAACAGTCCACAATATCTTTGGAAAAAAATGTCAAAAAGGAAATTTGAGGAAGCGTTGCAAACATTCAGACGACAACATTAATAATAAGCAGAAAGCATATTGAAGTGATTAATGGAGTATTTCTTTAAAATGATAGGCTCGTCCAGGACGGAGGCAATTATGACTTTTCACTGATTGCCTTTTTTTTTTTTTTTTTAATTATCGGTGAATTGTCATGGTTTATTAGAAAAATAGCGGAGTGGTTCCCCGTCCTGGCATTTACCCAATATATAGGAGGATAGAAATATATCGATGCCTTTTCCAAAAGACATTAGTCCGAAATGAAAGCATTAAACTAGAGGAAAATTTGAACACAACTCCTCGATTTCACTTTCCATGCCGATAACCACGATGCTACCCACACATCCATAGAGGATTTAGTAATACGAATTAATTCAGTGATTTATTTTTTACGGCTTATCAACCATTTTCAGGTTATTTAAAGTCAGAAAATATTTTTAGATAAGACTCTTTTGGAAATAATAATGATTAATTGATACAAGTTCTACTAATTAACACTTAACTAGGGGAAGAAGAAATGAATTAATATCTTTCCCAAAAGGTATTTGTGCGTAAGCGAACTCATCTGGGATTGGAACTCGGCTCTCCGATTTCCATTTCTAAGCCATTACACCAACTGCATATCCAAGTATACAACACTAAGTATTCCCAAGCGGTCACCCATCAAGGTACTAACCAGGTTCGACGTTGCTTAACTTCGGTGATCGTACAAGAACGTAATAAAAGTAAAAATGTATAATAATAACAATAATAAGAAATACATAAATATTCTAAATTTTCCTATAAGTGAGACATGATTTGAAGTGTCACAAATAACGAATTAAATTGAAGTGGCTGTTGCCATTACAAACAATTCTGCTAGCATCTGAAATTATTTAAAATATAGATTACTCGATAATGATATTAATTACTTGCATGAAATATATATATATATATATATATATATATATATATAGATAGATAGATAAATAGATATAGATAAATAGATATAGATAATAGAATTTTGGCGATTTAGGCAAATCAATATAGTAATTCATCGAGTCTAGAAGAATCCTCAAGAGAATGCAGAAAGCCCTGGACGGCCGTTTCGCCCTATATTTGGGACTCACCAGCAGTGCGCATCCACTACCGAGATTCGAACCTGAACCGTTCTATTACTTGTATATCGTGGCTTGATCCAGCTAATGCTCTGCGATGGAGAAACGTTGCTCTTGGGGCACACACCGTTGGGTTATGAATACTTGGATGAGTATCACCACGGAATTTGTGAGTAGCGGCGCTATATCGAGTCTAGTCAGTTTCTTCTTCGTCATCGAGGCCTGTTGGTATAGTTGGTATGACGCTTGCGTTGTATCGAAACTGTTCGGGTTCGAATCTAGGTAGTGGATGCACACTGCACACTTCCAAAATAGGACGAAACGGCCATCCAGTGATTTCTGCATTCTGTTGAGGATTCTTCTAGACTCGATGAATTGCTATAATGATATATTATTTTGCATTTATTTTGTATAGAAATATGAAAACACAGACAGAGAAAAGAAAGTGAGATGTTGATGAATCAATAGACAGTTGTAGACTAATGAGATAAAAACAACTGATACAGTTAGATGGAAAGATAGGTTGATACAAGAAGACTTCAATTGATATAGATGCGTATACTGACAAGAAAAGACAGATACACGACTCACTATATTTCTTTGAGCAGATAATGCTTGATATATTGTTTTGTTTTAGAAATGGATTTCGATGAATAAAACGTTATGAATTATAAAACATTTTGGATTTCCTAATAAGAGTAAAGCTCGCGAATGTCTTTTGATTGAAGCGCTATTTTGAATATTTGTTTGAGGAGACAACGTCAAATGCTACAAACCAATAACATTAACTTTTGCAGAGGCAACATAGCGTTATTCATTCGAGATGCAAAATTTGAACAGAATAAATAATTTCAGTAAAATATTATTATACTTATAATAATAGATATCAGAACGTTTTAATGCTGTCTTTAATGCTCGCGTTAAGTGCTGACTGGTGCATTTAAAATGCTTTTCTATAGAAAATCAATAGAAAGCAATTTACATTTATACATAAATGCACCATTCTATCAGTAATCTTTGCTTGCAAATGACAATATGTTCCTTTCTGATGTTCAAAGCGTTTCACTACTGCATTTGCATTATACATCTAAAACCTTATTCAATCAGTAATACTTGCATGAACTCCTGTCAAATAACAATCCCATTCTTCCTGAATTTTATATTGAAATCTTTAGCAAGGCATTTACTTTATAAATATAAAACGTATTCTATAATATTTGCACACACTGCTTGCCAATGACAATCCAATTCTCTTTTCTTTTAAAATCATTAGCAATATTTTATATTATACATATTAAGCCCTGTCCTCTCAAGAATACTTGTATGTTTTCTTGACCAATGGCAATTTCTTTTCTTATTTCCATTGGATTTCTCTTTTAAAATCATGAATAGTAATTTACCTTATTCTATCAGTAATAGTTTGTATAGCGGCATATCAACATCTTATGGATCATTTAATACCGAAATTTAATTTTCTTGGGCGCATTATTAATTCTTTTTACAAAAATGTATTGCTGGTAAAATATTTTTTCCTTACAGAAATGTATTGCTGGGATTTTTTTTTAACAAAAATGTATCGCTGGCAATTTTTTACTATGAAAATATATTGCTACCATTTTTACAATGAATTTTTTTGTACCTTCATAGTATTTTGACTGTACTTTGGGGTTAACTACTTGACCATAGCTGGGACCCCAACAGGTGCTACCACCCCTCGTTCCGCGTTAATCAAAACCTTCCAATCAGAGGCCTTGCCCCCGGATGTTTACAGTCATACATTAATTTCTGGCCTCTAACAATCCAATATTTCCTGATTTTTTATCTATTTTTCTTAAGTCATTGCTAATGGATTTACATTATACATATAAAAGCCTTATTCTATAAATATTTGCACAAATTTCTATTCAATGACACTCCCATTCTTCCTGGTTTTCATGCAATCTTTACAAGAAAATCTTTAGCAATGCATTTACATTATACATATAAATGCCATATTCTTGTCGTAATATTTGCATGAATTTCTGGTAAGTGAAGTTCTTTGAGAAGATTCTTAGCAATATTTTTACATTATCCCGATAATTGCAATATCCTTTATTTTCAATAATTCCTAGCCAATGACAATCCCTTACTTCCTGATTTTCTGTATAATTCTACAGTGAGATCATTAGTCGTTCATTTACATACAAGTGCCAATTTATAATCTCCTGTTGAATAAAATTGTAACTTTTATACCGCTAAAGTTTGCTTAACATAAGTCTCTAAAGCCACTCGAGGTAGATGTTTATTGAAATTAGGTGCGTGATATGCATGTAAAAGGAGATGCTGGGAGTTGAGATTATGAGGACAAGAAAGCCCCTTTACTTGAAGAGATTAAGATTTTAACGTTCAAGGAAGCATCCAGTTGGCAGTCTGTTCCCCATAGTAGCAGTGCTTGAGAAAATCTATATTGTTGGTTCCTTAAATTATTCGAAAAAGTTCAGCGTCTTATCATTTCAAAGACATCAAATCAACGAGAATTGTTTGATAGAATCAATGTAATAAAATGATTTTGCTTTTTTGGGGTTAAACGTGCGTGGTTTAAACTAAATCGAATATGCTTATATCGTATTTACATTCAGAATGTTTTGGTATGTCAGGATTTTGTGTTAGCACATGCTTATAAATTGAAAGGCTTTGTTTTATATTAATTGAAATTAGCATCAAGAATGTTTTTGTCTTCTTTATAGACAAATAATATTTTACTAGACTACATCATGTACGGATTTGGCTTGTATAGCATTATTTGTGTGGGTAGTAAGCAAAAAGGATTTTGTTGCTCAACACAATAGAAATAACATGTCACAAGAAATTCAAAGAGAGAAGTGGGTGTTGATGACAGTGTACAAAATGCTGTGATGACGGCAATAAAGTTGGGGAAACCGTTTCGAAACACTCACCACTTACCCACACCCAGGTAGTTTTTGCGATCGGTCAGTCCAGAATCATTAGTTTGAGGTTTTGTATTAGTATAAGTAGCGAGATTCTATCCACCAATCAATCAATATATAATAACACAATCTCAGGAATACAGATAAGAATGTTTATAACTTGAGATAATTATAACTTGAAAGTATTTGATTTGTTAACTTGGGAAATTGTTCCATTTTTGTGTGTACGGGCGTTGTGCAGACATATTTGTCCTAAGCCTAAATAATCTCAGATCATTTCCAGTCTGTTTTGATCATTATTGTTCTCATCTAATGCAATGGTCAACTAGCTGAAGAAATCGTTAATAACATCTATCCTCTCTGGGACCACATGGTACACGTATTATGCATGCCTAAGCTAAGCATAATAAATATTTAAAGCCTTACCGTGGAGCTGTGATTAACATTGTAGTCAGAGACAATTGCAATGGTATTGAATTCCATCCTCACTGGGGACTCAGATTCTATAGGATTACGCGCTATGTTGAGAAAAAAAAACTGTTTTAATATCTTAAAATGAGAAGTATCACGATTGAAGTAAATTCAGTTATCCCTAGGTACCACAGTATAATGGCCTTTTGTCATACTAAACAAATTGTATTAAACTTAACTTTGGACGCCTATGCTAACAATCGTCTCACTTAACAAATCACTAGTAAAATGAATTGGTTTCCACTGGAAATTCCACTTATGAATTCTTGTAAAATACTTAGCTAATTTTACCAGATTTCAATTTAGTTGGCAAAATGAGGTTCGAAAACAAAAATTGCAAAACAAATCCATAGAGAAGTGAGTCTGATCCTCACTGAGTAACCAGCTAATTCTTTTTTTTTTGTATCAATATTTGTCTTTCCTGGCGTTTACTGGAGCTACTAAATTTAGTTTAGTTTGACACATGGTCACAATAATGGGATCATCTATTTATACATTAGGTAAACTTATTTTTTAGTCCTTACTGGCAAACAGATTATTGTGGCCTTGTAACAAATTAAAGTATTAAAGCCAATCTCTAATCTTTTTTTTTTTTAATCAATTCACTCCAAGCAAGACAATGAAGCCACTAAGACGCAAGGGGTTACTAAATGTGAGAGAATATGAACAAAAGAAAACATTATTAAGGAGAGAGAAAAATAAAAGAACACGATTATGTTTCCAGGGAAAAAAAGGCCAAAATAATTATCACTGTCTATCGTTTATGGCAACACAAAGTGGCCAGACGTCCCAATGTGGCTTCGAGGTTGCCCACCTGAAGTACACGTTGGGACACCTATCCATGCACGACATAGCACTGCAAATACTGATATTATGCAACTGTTGACAAGAGGATTTACTCTAAGCGCTACCAATCGCAATGCAGCAACCAGAATTCTGTTAACCCGGCACCTTCATAAGGAAATATCACAACCACTAATCAGTGAGATTACCAAAAAGTTAATACAGTTAAATCATTAAGACTATGGAAGAAAGAAAGGAACCGGAAAACCATTTCCTAAACAGAAAACAAGGGATAAACCTCTATTCCAGTTCAATAAACACCGAACCTATCTACTCCTATTAAATTTGATACAAGTTACTATATATATGTTTTGTCCTGTGGCTAAACTAGTTATGTATTTTTTTTTTTTTACCACTGCCACAAGTGGTTCTTCACA